TTTTCATTTATATTTTTATTTCTTATTTATTTTTTAATTATTAATTTCATTTATTTATTTATTCACTTTTTTTTATTTTTGATTATTAATTTATACTTTCTTTTATTTATTCGTTTATTTTCTATTTATTTATAGATTTATTCATTTATTTATCTGTAATATAAATATATTTAAATAATTAATTTTTATTATATTTTTTGTTATATGGGTCTCGATGCGTAGTCACCTTCTCGTCGTGAGACCCGGTAATTGGTATCACTTTCCATTTATTTTCTTTTTTCAAAATTTTATGTTACATATTTTTTTTCAAATTTTTAAAATATTTTAAGTTTAAATAAATTTCATTAATTATAAATTAAAAAATAATAATTTTTGTAAAGCGATGGCAAGCCAAGAACTACGCACATCTGCAGTCCAGTCTAAACGTTGCGTTACTCTTTTTAATTTGATCTTTTTATTTTGATCAATTAGAACATAAACTGGATCACAGATATTAGTGAAATAAGTTAATAAATTATATTAATTAGATTATGTTCAATTATATTAATTAGATTAAGTTTGTGAGTACATATTCGTATCCAAGATACATTCTCTAATTTAAAGCGATTAAAATCTCAATTCCTTTACTTTCTTATGTATAGTTTTAATATCTTAATGTTTTGTAATTTCATTTTCTATATTTTCATCTCAAATTTCTCAATTTTATACTTAATTGAATCGTTTTTTAATTTTTTCTTTAATTTATTCTTAGAGTTTGTTATTAGTTTTTTGTGTGACTCGTTTTCTCATGTCACTGTCAACCATGCAAATGATTCTTACTAATAGCATCTTTGCTCTTGGACTTTTTTTTAAATAAAAAACGAGATATCGATAATATTATCCTTGCTTTGCTTTAAATTAGACATTGATATCCTTGATAAAAAATTAAAAAGATTAAAATAAATAAAATAAAGTAAAATAGGAATTAAACATCCGCGCTATCTGTTGATTATTTTGTTTGTTTCATCTACGACACTCTAGATAGCGCTGATGCCACAATTTTTATCTTATTTCTGTCTTTTTTGCATTTTTTGCTTTTTTTACTTTGTGTGAGCATAAAAAAATATCGAATAAATATTTGAATACAAACTATTTTATAACTCTAATTTCTATAATTTGTATAATTATATTAGAATAGAATTATATTTCTATAATTTCTAATTCAATAATTCTTTATAAAAATAATAATATAATAATTTACAAATTTATTAAATTTGTAAATCTAATTATTAATTGATAGTTAAAAAGAAATAAAACTCTATAATATAAAAACAAATTCAATATTGTTGAATACTATTTATAAAAATAGTTAAAATTAAATATAAAAGAAAATTTATTGTTTTGATATTAGAAAGTTCTTTCCATCAGAACATTTTTTACCTTTTTTATTAGTACAGATATTTACTTATATACACAACAGGGAGAGGAAAAGAATACAATAAAAAAAAAACATCAAAAGTACCGTTTGCAATAATTTAATTCGCAAAAAAAAAAAAATGATTTCTTACAATATAACACGAAGTATGCGACACGTAGTTGGTGAACGTTGTTGTTGTTCTTGCACCTATATTTTGTTACGTCTCGCGACACCAACCACGCGTGGCATTCCCTCGTTTTTTCTAGTCTCTTCAAATAACCAGTCGCACGAGCATCAGCAATGATGCCGATCACATTAACGAACGATTTTAATTAATTAATTAATTAATTATTAACGGTAATGATAACGTGTAACAATTGAACATAATATTATACATTTACGAATAAATACTAAAAGTAATCCTCGCAAACTCGGGTAGGAGTAAACGAACGTTTCTTTCCGTTCGTATTCATAATATAAATAGAAAAGGTGTTGGATAGGGGAGTAACGAAAGGGATAATAAAGGATTGGTGGAGAGAGGGTTGTTCAACTAATCCTTAATCACCTCTAAATTGTTTCTTTACATAAGGTACTCGATCAATTCCGATCGTTTATCACATTCACCGACGAATCGAGTCTCGGGGGGATTTAAAATTTTCTCGTCAAATGATTGATAATAAAGCTTCTCGTTTACCGAAAGGAATATATCGAGGAAATCAGATGTTCTTTTTTTAAATACAACGTATTTAAATACAATTCGATGCGACTGAAAATTTGTCTGTTCAATTTGCGTGATTAAAAGATAAAATTTTAATATTTTACCACTTTTAATAATTCAAAAAAAAAAAAAAAGAAGAAACGTTATACCGAATGTTCACGATATCGATTGATATTATTTATTATAAATTTAATTTAAAATTAATTAATTTTAAATGATGATACGTTTAACGAAATTTAAATTAATTAATTAAAAAATGCTTACTTAGATATCATGAAGATTACCGATAAAGTTTCTTCATTTTTTTTTTTTTTT